CTGCTGCGCCTTGCGCCGTCCTTCCACCCAGCCGCTCCTGGCAGCGCCGGTCCCCAGGGAAAACTCCGTCCCGCACACGCACGGAAGCGCCGAGGCTGACAAGAAAGAAACGGTCGGAAAAAGAAACACCCGGGCCGTGTTATCTGGGTTGGCTGAAGGTGAGCTCTAAAAGTCATGGAAATAAAACGGCTTCAGATCCTGCTTTTGCTAAAATGACTCGGACTTGCCGCTCCCAGGGGTGTCTGTCACTATCGCATCAGGGAGTCCAGCAAAGGCGTAGCAGCCGTTACTACACCAGAGACCTTTTAAAACACTCCCTCTTGCAAAAATTGAGGACTTTCTTCTTTTCATCCTTATCCTGATTAGTCTGTGAGGTTCACAGGGACGTCCGTCAGAACAACAGGCACTGTATTTCTGTAACTAAATATTTATAAAGGTAAATGGTTTCTTTGGAGATGGGGTCAAGTGCCCAAGGCAGTCATTTTCTACACTCACAATCCTCCTCCTCCTGCAGAACACTGCAGTCCCCCAGAACGGAGCTTTGTGGTGACAAAGATCTGCCACCACATGGATCATCAAATATTAGGGTGCAGGTGTTACTTTTAAAACCACAGCTCTTAAAAGTCAGCAAGCGTAACAGGAGGCCTGGCTTGCATCAAGACAAAGCCACAGCCCTGAAGCAGCAGCAGCAGAGATCACAACCCCCGAATCTCGGTGCTTCCTTTTGTGCCGGTCCAAGGGAGAACTTCCACATGAGCAACAGCCCTGAGGATCTACTTTGCTGAAGTTCTACTTTAGTATCAAGTTTAAGGATGTCTGTTACAAAAAAATGGGCCCGTTGCTTATTAAATAGTCCAGATACCGTTGCTGGTATATTTTGCCTCTTGTCCCTACCCAGCTACAGACTTCTGATGCCTAATTCATCAGTAACCGACTACAAGTGGTGTTAAAAATTTTGTATCTCGCACACAACTTCCTGTGATCTTAAAGCAAATGCCTGTTGTGACAGTGCTTGCTTTTAACTTGCCCAGAAAGGCAAACTCTGAGGTGTAGCTATTTCAACCTCCAGAAAACCTGGAGGTTCACCACATTGATCAAAACCACCAAGCTGTATTCAGTGCAGTTTGCAGTGCACCATTTTGTACCGGAGCTGTGACAGCTGCTGGCTCCTCTACGGCTTCCTTTGCGCTCTGAAGCGCACCTCTCCCAGCAAACGATTTCGACAAGTTTGCTTCTGCCCTGGCTTTGCTCTTGTCCGACAATCCCATTTCTGCCTAGCACCAGCGGGGACTTCAGCCTGTTCCTTTCTTTTGCTAGCAAGAGGCACGACAACGTTGTTTCAGTAACCTTCATCCTCAACTCTTCCCTAAACTCTGCAGTTCTGCTCTCCTGGTACACAAACTCCCACGCACATAACCCACCGGTCTGTGTTCTATGAACTGTAAGGTTTCCAGAATAAACTCTATATGGTTCCAGAAAAATCCCAACAATATAAAGATGAACAAAAACCTAAGGACAGAGGTAACTGTAATGCCTTTTGCTCATGATCAACTGTAAGACAAATTAAAGTGCTTTACTATGATGCGCAATGTTTAGCGATTGTTTTATTAAAGCAGAAACACCTGCTTAACTTCATACCCATTCTGATTTAAAGTGCAACAATTAAATCTGATAGTTCTTGTACAGCCGTGTTTTGCAAGTGTCGTTCCTAGAAGACATGTTGTTCGGATCATGCCTTGCATTTGTAAAACCTGTCATTTTTTAGTACCGTTTTGCTTTATTAACTAAAATAAACTGTACAAAAAGCTGTAGAGTTACATTAGCTTTGAACAATGTAGGATACACGTTCTCCGCCCAACTTTAGTGTGCAAACATTGTACATTTTTTAAAGTGACAAAATTAAGCCAACCTCGAAGTCAGAGTTCATTACTACATTACAAAACAGGAGACTAGATATGGCAAAAGAAATTCCCCACCGAAATCAACACCATTGTATAATTTTATTTCTAATTCTTAAAAAAATATAAATGAATTTAGAAGAGAATCACAGTATAAGGGCCCTAACATATCAGACCATTACAAGGTACATAAAAATAGAAGACACAGATTTCTTTGAAACTTTAATCCTTTGATTAAGCAGCAAGCATATCACTCTCCAGGCAAACACTGCTTAAAACAAACCCTACCCCCCAGAACAGGACGTGCAAACTGTATGCACATATTCTGCAAAGCACACAATAAAGACATTTTGCTATGTACATACTTATTTAGTACTACAAATGCTAGGAGTTCCCTACTGTGTGCTACAGTGTATGTAAATTAAGAAATACTACCCATCTCTGACCCTCCCTCCCCCCTTCAAATACAGCACCTTTGCGCCCAGTTATAGAATATTTAAACAAGATTTAAAGGAATTACAATGTACTGAACAGTTTTATAGCAGTTGGTGGTGGCCAACTGTACTGCAACACCCAACATTCTGCATACTGAAGTCTATCGACAAGAGACAAGACAAAAATTAGCAAAAGGTACAATACACACACCTGGGAGACTCAATGCTAAAAAACAAATAAAAAGAAAAAAAATCCTGAAGATGTAGCTTATCACTGTTAACAATTAAACTGAGATACTTAGGATGTCAAAATGTACCAGATCGGTTTTGTGTCAGTTTTAAAGTCTGGGGAGCAGCCAGATTTGTGTGTAGCTGGTGAGGGGACACTTTATGACTCCCAGAAGACAAGTTTCAGTGACCACGAATTCTTCGGTGCTCGTTTTACAGTGCTGCTTTGCTTAGACGAGAGGTCATGCGATGCTCACGTAGTGGCTAAGCATCTACTCTGATGCAAAAGAAAAATTCTAAGAAGGACCTTTTGTACGAGACCTCAGCACACTAGTGAAAGATGTTCTGAAAGGAAAATTTCTCAAGTTTGGTCTGAAAATATTTTTAAATGAAGAACTAAAGCATAAAGGTCAACACCTTAACTGCAAGTCAGGCCACAACTATCAAACTTTAATACTAGATTTACAAATGAAATAGGATCTGATCCTATAAGAACTTCCCTTTGCACATAAAAAAGGCCTTAGCCAGCTGCTAAACTGATCGTTAGACTACTCAATTTATCGGTGAAAAAGCGTAGGGAGAGCACATCCCATTTTCAAGAAACATCTCATTTTAGTCAAGGGCAAATCTAGTTAATAACAGAACGGATTTAAAAGCATTTTCAAATACCATTTCAGCTACAAGCAAAAATAATTTTCTACAATAGTATGGTAGTTAACATGAACATTATTACATAGTCAAGAATGCAAAATTTTTCAATAGCTTGATTCAGATCACACAGTTTCAAACACTGCTACTCAGATTTGCAGCCTGGTTTACTTGGAGGTAGGGGCATCCACTTTTCGAAACCACCCCCGTCCCCCACTGCTGGGCATAAATCAAGGTTTCAGACAAGGACAGTTTGATGAATGTAGTGGAAAGAAAACCTTTCCATTTCCTAAAATTTGGAAGCAATAATGAATACCCAAATGCAGATTTTGCTTTGTCAATAAAACAAAACAAACAAAAAACCCTCCCACAATACCCTCAACCCAGCTAATCAACTCCGCCAGAGACAGCAGAGATCAGAGACAATCACTGAACGGTAAGGCTGGGCTGGCAGCAGGTAACTCCACTGCCCCAGTATTCTACTACCACCATCAGCCTCTATTCTTCCCTCATGAATTCTTAGGCGAGATATCAATGATCTAACACACACGAACTGCAGACAGCCATTCTCAGAGGAATGAAATTCTACTATACTTAAATAAGAAGAACTAGTGGAATGACAAATTAAATTAATGGCTCTTGCTTTATGGTTCCTCTCCTGTCATCCCCCTGGGTGGTGGAAGTTGCTGCCGCTCTCTCCACCCCAGCCCACAAGAGATACTGCATCAGGAAACTGGAATCCTGTTTCCAGTTAACTTCTACGAGTAGAACACGCGTGAGATTTAGTAAGTTTGGTACAATAGCTCACTGAATCTTCAGAATACTCTTTCAGAGGAGTATTTACTAAGACAGTACCTTTTAAACACGAAAAAGTCTTCTCAGAAAGGAGAAGAAACACCTACATTTTACAAGTGCGTGAAATGCTTCTACTGCTATCTAAACAGGGCCAAAAATTCTGAACCTAAGGCCATTATTTTTTTTTCACTAGAAAGTAAAAAGAAAAATTCACACACACACAAAAAAACAATGCTACATTTAAGTCTCCTACAATATTATCCTATTCCTAGATTTGCCAGACTACTCTCCTGTAGTTAGATGCTTGACTACAAAGAACTGTAATAAAATAAATAGAGTAAAAATCAGTTAAACAAAATCTTGGTGTGTTGAACATTTATTCATTTAAGAAGTTAGCTTCCTTCAACAGTTATTCATACAGAGGAGGGCTGTATTGTAGGCATTGTTCTGCTGTACAAGTCTTCGGCATAAAAATATTTTTATACAGGTGGTCATTCACGTGGTTCCGTTTCTAGTTATTAGCTTGCTCCTCTGTAAAACTGGACCGATACCTGTGGAAGGTTTGCTCTTTTCTTCCCTTCATTATTTGGAAAAAAGAAAAAAGAAAAAAGTACACTGATAGAATTTTTCAAATGTAGGAGTTAGCACAATTCCGCTTTATTTCTTCAGTGCAGAGTGGACTGAGATTCTGTCTGAATTCCGATAAGCGAGGGTGGCTGCTGGCCGCTAACTGTGGTTAACACCGGCCTTGGGTTTAGACGAGGAGGCATGGAATTAGCTGGGCGGATGAGTGGCGGGGG